AGAGTTTTAGTTTTGAGGAGAGTTTAGATAAACTTAAGTTGAAGCAGAGGAGGTTGAGGGGGTATGTAATTGAAATGTATGAAATTATGAGGGCAAAGACAGAGTAGATAGGAAGTAATTTTTTCTCCTTGGTGAAGGGTTCAAAAATTAGGGCGCATAGATTAAGATAAGGGGCAGGAGGTTTAGAGGGGATGTGATGAAGTTCTGTTTTTACTCAGAGAGTGGTGGGAAATATGGAACTCACTACCTGCGAGGATTATAGAGGCAAAAATTTTCATAACATTTAAGAAATATTTAAATATGCACTTGTGATACCCAGGCATACAGGTCAACGGGCAAAGTGCAGTAAAATGGGATTAGAATAGTTCAGCGATAACACAGTGTGGAGCTGGAGGAACACAGCAGGCCAGGCAGCATCAGAAGAGCAGGAAAGTTGGCGTTTTGGGTCGGGACCCTTCTTCAGAAAATCAAGTGTTTTCTGAACCATTTTCTGAAGAAGGGTCCCGATCTGAAACGTCAACTTTCCTGCTCCTCTGATGCTGCCTGGCCTGCTGTGTTCCTCCAGCTCCACACTGTGTTATCTCTGACTCCAGCATCAGCAGTTCTTAGTATCTCTTAGAATAGTTCAGTAGTTGTTTTTGACTGGTGCAGACTCGACGGGCCTTTTCCTGTACTGTAGATGTCTATGACTCTAGGGCTAAATCATCAATGTCATATCATTTCTGCATGTGATTTCTAGACTGAAAGTGGTGAACGAGTACACATAGAGGGGAGATATGTCACAGTGCATTTCTAATGAATGATGTATTCACCCTGGGGCTAGTTGCAAAACCTGCTATTGTTTATAATTTACATCTGCAGTTTCAGAAACATGATGCAATGTTACCATATCTGTCAATTTTATCAAATCAGTAATGGACACAATTAGAAAAAGATTACAGATCAATTTAAGCAAAATACAAGAAGATAGAACAATATAAAGTGAGATTTATTTCATGTAGATATACAGTATATAAATAGCTATGAAGCTGAAAGGTACATAGCAGTCTTGCCAACTCACAGAAACATAGAAAATTGGAGCAGTAGTAGACCATTCAGCCCTTCAAGCCATTCGATATGCTCACAGCTGATCATCCAACTCAGTTGTGGTTGCAGGGTTAGGGCAAAAAATAGTTAATCCAGAAGTGGATGGCTGTGGTTCATTGTCTTCTGACTGTTTCTTGTGGATTGGCTTAAAAAAGAAGACATCCAGATTTTGCTGCTCTGCCCTTTTTCTTTCATGAAGAAGCTGTTCATAGGGTGCCAAATAAGATCTTATTTCATGACCTGCCTACTCTGCTGCGTTCTGCATTGTAATCGTTGTCCTCTAAGCGCTGCAAATGCTTCTCAATTTCCCTTAGGATAGAAGACAAAACAGAAGTGGAAAGTTCTCATGGTGCTGCATCCTGGACATTTTCTTCTTCATCTCCAGCTTCCACTTCCCCCTCAGTGACAAGTTGTTGTAGATCAGCTGTGAAGAGGTCTTCACAGTGGGACTCAAGCAGCTCTTCAACATCCTCACTCTCCACTTCTTCAATTGCAACTTGCTTCACAAGACCAACACCTTGTTCTTTGATTCTTGGAGCTCCTCTGCTGGATCATAGACTTTAAAATCTTGAAAAAAATCCGGGAGAAGCTTCTGCCAAACTGCATGCAGGCAGTCTTTACTGACATCACCCTCCTGACAGGCCTCCACAATAATGTCAATTGCATTCTTCGTGTTAAAGCTCTTCCAAAATTGAAGAACATTGTCCTAATCACACTCAGTGGCTGCAATCAGCCGCTTAAATGTGCACCTTAAATAATAAGCTTCAAAAGCTGATATTATACCCTGGTCCATGGTTTGAAGGAGAGAGGTTGTGTTCGGGATAGAAATAGCACTTTGATGTTTTCAGAAAGTTCAGCAATGGTGGGAGGATGGCTTGGTGAAATATCCAGGATCAGCAGAATCTTGAAATCCAAATTTTTTTTCCTGCAATACTTTCTAAAAACATCATCAAAAACATCAACAATAATGTCAGAAAAAAATCTGCCCCGTCATCCACCCTCTTTTGCTTGACCTAAAGTAGACACCTAGAGTAGACTTTAGGTAAACTTTCAAGGCTCGTAGGTTGGCAGTACTGTACACCACCACAGGCTTAAGCCTTAAGTCTCCACTGGCATTGGTACCCAGCAGCACAGTCATACGATCCTTTGCCACTTAAAAGCCACTTAAAAGTGCTTCATTCATGGAGATGTAGGTTCTTGATGGCATTCACTTCCAGTATAACCCTGTCTCATTCAAACTGAATATTTGATCTAAGTTGTAGCCTTCTTCATCAATTAATTTTTTCACTATGGGAGGAAATGCCATCGTATGCTCCTCATCTGCACTGGCAGCTTCACCACATAACTTTACGTTATGAAAAGCATAGCAGTTCTTAAAATGCAGCTAGCTTTAAAGGCAGGCATGTCTGCAGGATTTTCAGCTTTCTTTGTTAGATTTTCATAAATTGATAAGGCTTTCTCTGTTATGGTGAGAAAGGTGGTCCTTGATCACTTCTTCGTTTGATCTTCTATCCACACACTTAAAAGCCGCTCTATCTCCTCAAGTTCCTTTGTCCGTGGCCTCACAGATGTATGAGGACACCCAAGTCTCGTTGCACCTTCCTCTTTCCCATCTATTGTCATTCAGATAATAATCTGCCTTCCTGTTTTTGCTGCCATATTACACTTCATCTGCCAGGCATCTGACCACTCAATGTTAAACTTGTACATCAATGTAACTTACCAATCAATACAACCAATAGAGTTTGAAACAGCAAAGCTTAAACATAACATACAAGTTAGAAGAAAGGTAATGATCAAACATTACCATTCTCCAGAAAAATTGCACATTGAATAGGACGTTCTGTTCCAATTACTGATTAATTAGATAAGTTTAAATATTGGAGACAGCAAGGTTGTCCAGAGTGTTAAGAGATCCGAGTTTAAATGAGAAACTGAATGGTCTTAGGCTTTTGGGCTTGGAAAAGAAACTTCCGAGAGGTGATCTCACACTAAAAGCCTTGAACAAGCTATCAGTCCAATGACCCGCCTTTAAAACCACTGTTTGAAACATTGCAGTGCATTAAACCAAATCATGTTGGATAGAAAACAGATAATACAAACTTTTTATTGGCCAAACTTATAAAACCAAAGTAAATATAAAGATATCACATCTTTATATAAATAGAGTATTTCCAATGCAATAGCTGATATCAAGCCTAAACCACAATTATAGAAATTTACAGGTCAGAAAGGTAATTAATCCATCACACCTGTGCTTGCATTATGCTTCGTCCCACATGCCTGTTTTTGATGGGTAACCCAATAAGTCCCTCCATCTCAAGTACATGTCCAATGCACTTTTAAAGTTATTTATAAAGTCAGCTTTTCCCAGAATTGGTACAGCACAGAAGGAAGTTATTGAGCTATTGTGTCTGAGCTAATTCTCCGAGTGAGTACCTAATACCACTTCCCAATCTTCTTCCCATCAGATAGCATTTCAATTCCCTCACAAATGCCTCAATTGAATCCACCTTCACCAAACTCCTGGGTGGTGCTTTACAAATCCTAAGCACTTGCTGCATGAAGAAATGTTTCCTCATGTCCTCATTTGCTTCTTTTGCCAACCATCTTAAATCTGTGCCCTCTTGCTCTTGATCCTTCCACCAATGAAAATAGTTTCTCTCTATCTGTTCTGTCCAGACTCCTCATGAATTTTAGTAGCTCTGTCAAATTTCCTCTCAATCTTCTCTTGTCCAAGGAAACCAATTCTCCAGTTTATCTGCCTAACTGATTTTCCTCATGGCTGGGACTATTCTCGTGAGTCCTTTCTGTAATATCTCTAAAGTCTTCACATCTTTCCCAAAGCGTAGTGCCCACAAATGAATGCAATGCTCCCATTAAGGCTGAATATTCTATGCCAAGTTTAAAATAATTCCCTTCATTTCATACTCTATACAGCTTTTAATCCAGCCTAGAATGTTAAACTTTTTAATAACTGCTTTCTCAACTATTCCTACCTCCTTCAATAATTTATTCACATATACACCCTTTGCTTCTGCATTCCCTTTAGAATTTCATCCTTTACTTTTTTTTATTAGCTATTTGATACCTCCTCCTTATCAATTCTCAACCCTTCAAGTGGTATGTGAAATTATGCCAATGTGCCTCTGAAAGGGGACCATCCTTCCTTATTAGTGATCCAAAATGCATCACTTCACCTTCTCTGCATAGAACTCCAACAGTTATGCTTTTGCCTATTTCACCATCCACTCTATATTATCCTGATGTCCACAGCTATCCTTACCACTATCTATTACTTTGTTAAATTTTGTATCATCAGCATTTTACAGACTCAAAGGGCTGGATGGTCTCCTTCTGCTCCTACATCATATGGTCTTTATAATAATACTCCCTCCATTAGAGTCTAGGTCAAAAATAAAAACTGTAAATAGCAATGAGTTCAAAAACTGACCCCTGAGGAAAGCCAAGAAGCGTTCATTGGCACATGTCTTTCAAATTAAATAAAAATGTCCCTTATATTTGTTTCTGATGTCTTTCCCACCACAAATATTAAGCCTATACATTCCCAATTTATCACTTTATGATGACCACTTGGAAAACTTTTCTCCATAAATCAGAGAGGCTAAAGGAAGATAGTGGCTCTCAAGATGATGGGAGGTTTTGATGAAGCATCTCTTAAGAACATTAGCAACCCTCCTTGCTTCGGGCAACATTTCTTTATCCAGTGACAATTAAAAGATTTTAATTAACACCTCCACTATGCCTACTTTCCCTTCTTTCAGTAGCCAAGTGTGTGTTTAACTTGGTCCAGGTGACGCTTACCTTAGCACGTCTTCTATATGTTGTATCTTGCCCATAATTGTTATAATATAGACCCTATACATTGCCAATTATACTACACAACACCTTACCTGAATAGGCATTTTCATCTCCAGACACACCAGAGCTTCCATTTTCCAGCTGACTATCATTTGAACTGCAGATACTTGTCTCTGCTATATCATGAACAGATTCTGTTGGAAAAAATGGAAACAACTGCTAGTAATAATTTTCCAATCCTACAAAACAAAATTCAATATGTCTTACATTATACATAAATGTCATCATATTCCAATACGATATACTAATATGTAGAAGTTACATTTCTCCCTTGAAGCATATTCAGAATGAAAAGCATCATAATATACGAGGAAAGAGATGGACACGAAAACATCATCTGGTCCTTTGAGGTTTCCCAAATTGGCACAATGTTCACAAAATTGTTATATCCACTCCCATCTCAATACAACATTCTGAGAAATGCAAACAGAAAAAAAGATATTGACCAATTTTGGAGAAAGACAGAAATTGCTCTCTAATTTCTGGAAGTGTCTAAGACAACTTCTGGTGTCTTTGAGAATGGGTGAAATATCCCCCAAAGAGACATCCATATTCTATGCATTGATGTAATGGCACGGTCAAGAATGCAGTTGAATACCTTTTGGATGTTTGCTGCAAATCCACACTCAATGCATGAATCAGTAATATATTACAGAGCTCATTGACTTTCTGTGTTTCTTACCAGCTAACCTAGTTCTATGTTGTCATTAAAGTATTCATGTCTTTTCCATAAAGCATACGCTTTTCTATACCAAAATGGTTCTTAGTCTGTTCTGATAGTTGGAGGTCCTTAGAAGAGGCAGTAATCTGCAGTAGTGGCGCATGGACAAGGTATTTGACAGAACTTTCCAGGAGGCCTGTGAAACTATCTCTCCAATGGGTGCAAGAGAGAGGAAAAAACACAATGCATGGGGCGAGGGGACAGGGAGGAGGGCAAGCCATTCACATTGTACAAATTAACACCAGTTATTATAATCCAGCACTAGAAATCCATTTGCAAAACTTCTGAATATTCAGCCTTCTATGTGATGATGGATGCTTCGGCTGCAATGATTTTCAGCAGTGACTTAGCAGGAGGGGGGGGATGGTGGGAGGTCAGCCGCTGTTGTGATACTTAAGTACATTCCACTTGGACTCATGCAGTAAGCAAGTGTCATTGTAAACTGACTGGACAGCTGCACTTTCTGTTTATAGTCACCTCTTGTTGATTTGATACCTATAATTGTGGAAATGTCAGTTGTAATTGCACAAAGCTTCCAACATTTTTATTGCAAAACTATTCGTTAAAAAATACTTTATGTACATACACAGTTACTGGAGCAGCTCTGTATAGTCTTTGCACATGAAGAACAAATATTGGAATTTGGACTGGTCTTTCCCCACTGCACCTCGGTAGCAGCTGCCCCAAGCTTTAATGAGTCACTCAGCACGTAGTCCTGGACCTCGGAATGTGCCAGTCTGCAACATTCAGTTAAGGTCAACTCTTTGCACTGGAACAGCAACAACTTTCGGGCAGACCAAAGAGCGTCTTCTACTGAGTTGATGATCTTCCAAGTGCTTTCGAAGTTTGTTTTGGTGTGCACAGCGTTGAATAGTCCACAGAGTCCTGTGTCATGGAGCTGCTCAGGACAAATCTCAACAACAACCACTGCATCTCTCTCCCAATCTTCTTCATAAAGGCACATTCCAGAAAGAGATTTGTGACAGTCTCCCCCACCAACACCAGCAACCCAGCCCCCCACCACCCCTACCCCTCCTACCACACCCCGCCCCACCCCCCACCATTCCTACCACACCATGCCCCAACCCCCGCCACCCCCACCACTCCTACCACACCATGCCCCACCTCCCGCCACCCCCACCACTCCTACCACACCGTGCCCCAAACCCCGCCACCCCCACCACTCCTACCACACCATGC